GTTTGGTCTAAATGCATATCTGGGTTAATTGTCCAATTACAGCTTCAGGTAATGAAGTGACATTCCCCCAGTTTACTTTGGTTTATACTTTTTGGGCCTGAGACTGTGATGATGACCTCGGTTTTCAGTCCTGGAAGGATTATTTTGTCTGACCAGAATGGGAGACTGACTGTGATGGGAGCTTTCTAACATTCTATATGAAAGTTCAGAGTCAAACACTAATCCAGTACAGGATCTGAAAAATACAAAATTAAAATGTAAGGCATCATTTGGATATTCCATTTTGACAAATTCAACATACAATGGTGGTGTCAGCTGTGCCTTGCATATTCCCAATGTTTGGATTGGTTTCTTTAAGTAAGTTCTTCAGTGAATTTGTCATGTTTAGGATAAATAGGAAATTAAGTCTTGTCTCTGTTAGTGAGACAGGGAAAATGTCTATCTCTTGCTTCAGACAGTTTGCCTCCATTCACGTGGGAGACCAAGATTTCGTTTTGAGAGTGGTGCAAGAAAAGTTTTCAGTATTTTAAAGAATCAATTGTTTTTGAGTGGTAATTCAAACGTGTTTGATTAACTCAGCTTGAGCTCGGTGAAAATGTTGACTTTTTTTAGAGGAAAAAACAAGATACTTAAATGATGAATAGCAGTAGTTACCACTCCTAGTGTGAAGATTCTTGATTTAAATAGCTTGACCTTTTCTCTCAAGTACAGAGAAAAGTTGGTACTTGTAGTCTTTGAAATGTTCCTTGTTCTGAGATCAACCCAGTTTAAGAACAATAACTGCATGTGCAGAACTCTGCAGATGACGGGAAGGGGAGTGGCCTTTTCTGGTGCTGTACCGGTCTGCAGTGAAGCAATAGAAGTTCTGTATAAGTTAAATGTATTTATTGGCTTGCTAAGCTGATCTGCTAGGTTTTTACACAAAGAAGTCTTTACTACTTAAAAAGTCATTATTCTAGAATTTCAAAATGATGTCTGCATGCATCTTGCTAGAAGTCTCACAGATAACTGCAAAGTTCAAGTGGGAAGTGATGTCTGTGGATTGAGGGGAGGGAGGTTGCTGCAGTAATTCTTTGCATTAACAACTCCTTGGGGCTGGGTAGTTTCACAGTGACTGCTGGAAGAAGAGTGTTATAGGCTTTATCATTAACTTGGGCTGTCCAGGCCTGTGTAACAAACTATGTTATTAAGTGGTCCTGCACTTTTGAAGATTGCTGAGGAATTCTTCCAGATGAGTGTATCTCTCAATATGCAATGTGTGACTAAACTTTATCTGTGGTATATTTAAGAAAGTGAACTCTGCTTTGTTTTCAGAATGTTTGGGCACTTGATGCTCATTGAGGTTTCCCAAGTAAGCCAATAACATGTGGAAATCTATAGCCCCCAGAAAAGGTTTGTTCTTAAAAAACAAAAATGTTACTGGATCGTAGGACTCCTTCCATAGTCTTAATAAATTCTAGCAGTTGGATTTTCTTAGTAAACAGCACTCTCCTGGCATGAGCCATGTTGATATTGATGAACCTACCTGTGATGATTTGAGGTAGTTTTACAGTGATGAGCTTCCCTGTGGCTGTCTCTTCTCAACTTAATTCTTCAGAAGCAGCTTCTGAAGAGGTATTGAGCCATTGGCAGCTGGAACATCTGTGCCTTATAGGTTCTGTCTGCATTAATCATAAAGAAACCCAGTTGTCAGTGTTCTAAGATTCTGAAATTAAACCATTTAAATAGCAGCAGTGTGCTCTGTCACTTTTGTCAAAAGGTGATTCTGTCCTCCCCTGCAAGTGAGGGTTGACACCAGATCCTGTCAGACATTTCACAGCAATCCTATGTTCACAAATATTACAGTAATCCTGTAAATAATCTGGGGGTTTGTGTCTTGATAAAGAATGAGTGTGAGTATTTAAAATGGATAGGATGGTCTTAACAGGTCTTCTATTGTGTGTTACTTCAGTTTTCACTATAACTTAAAAATTTCAGTTGATTGGCTTCATTTTTTCTTCTGTTACAGTTCTTCTTTGGCATTTAAGCCACTCAGAGCCAAAGAGAATCTGTGCAAGCTTCTGTTTGGAGTCATCACAGGTGTTCCCTGCAATATTTTTAACCTTTCTAAATATACTTGGTTAACAAACTATTGCACTGGGCTGTACTCAGTATTGAGTCTGAAAAGCACCAGGTCTTGTGAAACCTTCTGGGTATTTTACATTCAGACCTGTGCTGCCTGATGAATACAATAGGTTTATTTTTTGCTGCCTTTCAGCACTGCAGATATGTCAATGTTGTTGTTTTGAAAAAGTCTATTTAAAAACAGTTCTGACAAATTGTAATTTAAAATAAGCTTATATAAAGTTCATTTCTTTATATTTCTCAGGTGTGTGCACCAACTAATATTTCCCAGCTTTTTAATGTCCAGGTGTTTTTTCCAATTCAGTATCTGAGGAGAAGTGTCTTGGCTTTCTTGATGAAATAAAACTTGCAAATTATCTGATGGCTTAACTTGTTAATGTACCCCATATGTTGCTCACTCTTGTTCATCCTCTTGCTGTGTGCAGAAAACTGGTTTACCTAAGTAATTTTAAATTTAATTTGTAGCTGGTCAATGAAGATAGTAGTTTGTCTTGAAGCAATTATTTTGAAAGAGCAGATATGTAGGGTTTAGGGATGGTTCTCTCCCTTGCCTCCATCCCTTATTCCTTGTGCTGTGTCTCCTCCTTCCCCTCTCTCTTCCCCTGGTCTCCTAAAACCTCCAAATCCATGAGTAACGATCATATTGAAGTAGGAGCTTGTATAGCACCTAGAAAATGTGCTCACAGAACAGTCTTGCTGTTTTTCTGGTTTTTCTTTGGTTGGGTTTTTGTATGATTGCAGCATTAGTCATGGTCTGGTTTAAAGAGTTCTTGTCTCCTATCCCAGAAAGTAAAATAGTATCTTCCCAAGAATGTTGATAAGGCTCACAGAGAAGCTTTCTTTCTGAACAAGTGAAATGAAATCTAGACCTTAAGAACAGTGGGATGAAGTGTTAAAAGAGAATTTTCATTACCTGAACACAAAATGTTATGGAAATGATTGCAGGGGTGAGTCCTGCATTGAGGCAGCAAGAGCCTGAAGCCAGTCTGCCTTCTCTGGTAGCCTGAGTCTTCAACACCCCAGGTGACAGCATGAGACTAGTTCTTATCTACCAGGAAAGCTGAACATGTCCGTTTAGATCTCTATAAAAAAAATTTGAGAGGGTGTTACACATAATAGTTCAAAAAATGAGATCTGTTATGCCCATGGATTCACTAAGCATTAAGTCTATTGACTTTCATTTTGCCTTTTGTGCTGGTTTTAAAATGAAAAAATGTGAGAAAATTGATGAGTGGTGTATTGTGTTGCTTACAACTATACATAAATACATCTTTGGGCTTCATAATAAGTATCAAATTGAGTGTAAGCATTTTTCTCAAGCTTTAATAACAATTTTTTTAAAATAATATCACAGTTCAGTGTTAACAGGTCTCTTAAGAAAGTGATTTAAGAAATGGAGTGAGTTAAAGCACAAAAAGATCCGTCAGGTTTCCTTTATTGAAGGCTAGGATTGACTAGCAGTGTGTTCCATCCCACTGTGTGTTCATGTTTCCCTATCTGGGAGTAGGCTACACAGTGTGTGCTGCTCTTTGTGGCAAAAATCAGTCAGCTCTGGAGACAGTTCAGCAGTTCTTGTTTAAAATAGTGTCCCAGTTCTGGACAAATTTAGGAGGAAACATTCTGAAAAGCTGTCTGCTCTGACAGAAGGCTGGTTTGAGCAGCCCCTCCCCCACAGGTTCCCACAGGTTTAAAAGGAATTCCTTTCTCCAAAGTGCAAAAATCCCTGTTTATTTAACAGTCGGATTGCTCACAGGCATGAAAAAAGGAGTGAATAATGTTCAATACCTGTCACTGCTCTGCAGAGATGGCAGATTCAGAGTCCTTTCTGCAGGTGTGGCTCAGCAGTGGCAGCCCCTGGGTGATGTCCTAGTGCTTCGGACTGGAGAAAAACTGAACAGTTCCAGAAGAAGAAGCCACAGTCCCAGGAAAAAGCTTACTGCCTCAGCTCATGAAAAAGAGGCTAGCTAAAAAAAACCCCAAGGAACAACTCTGTCTGTCTGTCTCTTTAAAGAAAGAAAGCTGGGAGAAACCCCCAGACGCTTATCTCTGTTTTTGAACACAGGCACTACAATAATTCCACTACTTCCCTCCGCCCCTCAGCTCTAACTTGAAGCTGCAGGACTCTGCTCTATATCTGAGCACGGAGCAGGCAACAGGGGTAGCAGAGTGTGCAGTCACCTCAAGACACAGAGCTGTTCTGGTCCCTCCGCCACACCCAGCCCCCACTGTGTGTTGGCCAGGTGGTAACTGTAGCACAGGCAGGCTCCGGGATGGGACCGTCACTACCTGTCAGTCGCTCAGAGCTGCCTTTATGCTTTTGAGCTCTCTCCCTTGGCAGGTAGCTGGGTGTGCACATGTGCACCTAACACAGCAGCTACAGGGAGCTCAGATTCTCCTGCATGTTGGCAAAGATTTTGAAACTGAAATTTGTCTGCTTCACTTGCTTTAAGTTCCTCTCAAGCTGTTCGGGTCCCAGCTGTTGGAATCTGGAGATGGGTTGGAGAAGAAAGCAGTCCATCTGGAATTTAGATTCTCTGAAGATGGCTGTTTATGACAAAATTCCCACTGATTCCTGACCACAGACATTGCCTTGAGTATCAGTCAGTTGCTTTTCAGTTCAGTGTCATTGGGATTTGTTAATATTCTTCTAGTTTGCTGTCCAACTCACTTTTCCAGGTGTTTAGTTCACAGGTGAGAATGACTGAGGCTTCAGGCCCAGCTGCAGGTGTGTGAGGCTCACATGCTGAACTTGGGGACTTCCCTCCCCTCTGGCTTTGGGCAGAAACTGGTGGCTCAGCAATGGGAATCTGAGAGCAGGGGGGGATTGGAGAGTACAAGCATTGCAGACAGGTAACCTTCTCTCTTCTCTTTGATAGGTTTGGAAGAGCATCGTCCTCTAATCTTCAGAAACCTGGAGTTTTTATCAGTGAGCTACCTAAAGGAATCTAAGGAAATTATAGCTGTAGCTTCCTTGCCATTACTTTTTTGGTGTTTGTACCTCTTCTTCAGTGGTTTTAGATCAAGAAGCACTATGAGCACAGTAAGTACTTTGCTACTCAGTCCAAACCTGATTCTTGAAACATGTTTTCCATTGTATTTCTGCAAACTATTTTAAGAGTTTCTAGCTAATACACAGGAACACAAGTATATTGAATCTTTGTGTACATTCAGATTTTTAATCACTCTAGGTGCTAGCAGTAGTACAGAAATGCTCACAATGTCAGCAAAACCCAATACACTGTGAACTAGTTTCTCATTTGCAAACCATCATGATAGGCTTTTTCTTGGTGAGGCAGCTGGTGAGAGATCTGGATCTGGGCTGATATTTTTATCTTTGCTGGAATCGATTCAGGTAAGAATAAGCCATACCACCTATTGATGACTATTACAGCCATTCCAGGAGTGTTTTCTGTACCTTTATGTGCTTTCATTGGTGTTGCAAAATTGAGGGCTATGTTAGTACTGCTTGCACAGAAAATGCTAAGTCTTTGTTCTCTCTTAGACTCAACGGAAGCGCCGTGGAGGAACAGGTAATTCTAGGCAAGCTCGAAAAAGAAGCAGGCTCATGGCTTCCACTGCTGAAATGGCTTCAGAAGCAGAGCCAATAGAACTTGAAGAAAGTGGTAAGTTTTCTTTTGAAGCGATAAGAACAGAAAGTGCTTCTGCAGGGTTTGGGTACAGCTGAACATGTATTTTTGCCAGTTTCTAGGCTGTGTAGTGGAGAAGCAGGGAAACATGATTTTAGGAAGTGCCTAGTGGCACACATGGCTAAATAACAAGCCTGCTGAAAGGCATGGCATGACATGGCATGGCATGGCTAAATAACAAGCCTACTGAAAACTGGTTTGGTTTGTTACTGAGCTACAATGCATTTGTCACTAGTGATAGATGAGTTGCACAGGAAAAGTCCTCAAGAGCTGCTCAAACATCTGCATGTCTATTCAGATAAGATGGGTGTTTCAGCAGCTGCCACTACACAGAGTGGCAAGCTAAATTTTGAAACTCCCAAGTTTGAAGAAGATAAGGAAAACTTTTTATTATTAATTGTGCCCAATCCCTCAAGGGAATGTGCAGAGCACAGTACTATTATATCCTATATGATTCATGTTACATTTTTGTGTGATAAGCATTCTCCTGTCAGATGAGTTGTCTGTTGCTGTTGTCATCTGACAGAACTGTGTGAGGAGTTTAGCTGCTCTTTTGCATTTCAGCTTGCTGAAGACAGGGCTGGTAAAGCTGTCTGGGAGTTGCTGAGGGCAAAGCTTGAGTGAAATGTTGGTCTCATTCCTGAAGAGAAGATGGACAGGAGATGGTTGAATCTTAGGCTGTTACATAGTGGCAGGCAATTTTCCTCCTCTGCAGTCTTTGACCTCGATTCTAACTTTGTTTTTCAGCTGGTGAAGAAGTAGTAGATCTCACATGTGAATCTTCTGATCCTGTAGTCGTTGATCTAACTCACAATGATTCCATTGTGGTAAGTAGTGAATAGCACACTTACCTAATTATTGTAGTCAAATTAGTTTCCTCATGTGTTGCCTGATAGAATCTGACTTTAAAGGGCAAGTTTTAAATTCAGGTTTGGCTTTTCAGGGCCTGAAGGTCCTGTGTTACAGAGAGCAAAGAAGCTGCTCTGGAGGTGTACTTGCAGTTAGTGATAGGGTAGTATAAACTAACTTTTTGCTCCAGAACCTGGAGTTTATATAGATCTGTCATAAATAATGTAACCTAGAGATGCAGTTGATAGTTGAATTTTTTCTAGATATATCAAAGGTAGAATCATAGAATAGTTTGGGTTGGACAGGACCTCTAACATCATCAAGTCCAACCATTCACCCCACACCACCAGGTCCACAACTGGGCCATATGTATAAGCACCACATCTGTCTGTGTTGGAAGTACCTCCCGGCGTGATTTCAAGCCAATGCCACTGGGCTGCCCTGGGCAGCCCCTTGCAGTGCTTGGCAAGTCTTGGTGAAGAATGTTTTATAATACCCCCCTAGGCCAATGATTTGAAGAAAAAGCCAAGGGAAAGAAGAGTAAGTAAAATAAGTTCAGGTTAATACTCCCAGAAGTCTTTAAAACACCTTAATTTTTTTTCTGCTCTTTTGAAAGCTAGAATAGTCTTTGATCCAGCTGGCAGTGTTGTTTATCCCCTCAGTTTTAGGATGCCACTGCTGCTGTGCCGAGCAGAAGCAAGCAGCAGGAATAGCATAGGGAGTGTTTCTTGCTGGGGTTATTCCTGAGCCTTTGCAAAGGAAGGGCCTCAAACTTAACAACAGAATTTGCACTTACCCTGCTCCAGTTCCACCAAGAGCAGGCTGGGGGATGGGTTTCTTTTCTTCAGCAGCTGCCATAATATGGCATGTTTATGGACACCAGTGCTGAACTGGCCTGTTTGAGGAGAAAGAGGGAAAGAATCACCTGAAACTAAACCATGGAACTGAATGGGGGGAGCAGGAAGGAGCACATTTAGATGGTTCATAAGTTGCTTCTGTTGCTACCCCATTGGAGCAGTGGGAGCAGAACCATCAGCATCCACATAGTTGTTTACAGTGAAGCTTTTAATATACTGCTTTTAATAGTCCTAATCAAAATAAGAGTAATAGCCTATCATTCTTGGCTTGTTTTGTTGGAACTGCTGTGCCTAGCTGGTCTTTGTACGTAAGACCAGGGGTGCACCGCAAAGTCTAATTGTATTTTCTTTTCTCTCCTCTCCCATGTGTATTGATGCAAGATTGTTGAAGGTGAGTTGACATTTTAAAATTGATAATGGAATTCTCCGAAATGTAATAATTATTATTTTTTGTTTGCCTTTTTCAATTAATTTGAGCAGCATTTATTGAAACTGCAAAAGGCCAGCCAAGGACATTGCTAGAACATCTGTCCAGTGCCTTAGAGAATGAATCCAGTCTCTGCTTGATAGTCAGTATCAAAGCTTGTAGAAAGTATCTGAAATAAAATATATCAAAAGCTGCTCTAAATACTTTTTCTTATTTTCTAAGGACAGAATTTCTTTAAGCCCCAAGTTGACAATAAGTTTAATTAGCACTAGCATATTGGTTGTGAATGAAAAAAAAGTCAGATTTGTCTAACCTGTATTCCAGTAAAGGAACTAGAGAAGGTGATTTGTGCTCATAGTATGCACTAGTCTAACATGCCTCAAATTTTGCAGTGAGAAATATTAACTTTTTTTTCTTCTTGAGATGTTAAAATAGTTACAGGTCTAAAGAAGTTCATCTTTTACATCTTTCAGATGTAGTCTAACTACATTATTGGAGATACATTAGTGTGTTGTCAGCTGCTTATCTAGAATGTAATCTGTCCTGTGCTCTGAATGAAGCAAGAGTAAGTGAAAAACGCCTGCAATAAAAGTTGTAACTGAGCACTTAGGCAGGAAGTGGTTTTAATTTTGTGACTTTTTGTGTTGTCTTATTGTTTAGTAGCTTGATTATTTCTACATGGATACTGGAGTTGCAGAGATAAACTTGTGTTCAGTCCTCCCTCTTCCAGGTCACAGCAGTTGTTGCAGTTCCTCAACATAGGATTGTAGCTGTTTCTGTCAGTAAGAATTGGGAGAAGTGTCTTCCCTTTATAGGGGAGATTAATTCACAGGTAGTGTAATTTCCCAGAATGTGTGACACTGAGGATCTTCAAGATTAAGTTTTAGCTGTTTGTAGGGTGAAGAGATCAAATGATTTGTGTCAGTATGTAGTGGAATATTCACAATGTCTCGACATGTTCAGCCTTAATATTTAGAAACTAGTTTAAGATTGCTTTTAATGCAGCTGAATATGGTCTAGTCTTGCATTTCAGGGATAGATTCAGGGAGATAATAGTATAGCTAACTTAACAAAACTAAATTACAGAGAACCAACGACAGAGGAGAAATCTGAGGCTAAGAAGCCAGAGACAGGCAGACAGCTGTGTGCTGAGCAGTGATGATGAAGATGAAACCAGAGATAACGACGTGTACGTGGCTGATAAAGCAGCTCGAGAACTGGGACCCCTGGAAGAGGAAACTGCAAGTTCAAAGTACGTACACCTCATGAGCTGCCAAACATGGAGTTGTGCTTCTTTTGAGGCAGACAGGACTGAGTTGTATTTGTCATCACCTGACTTCCTTTGAAGCCTTCGCTTTCTCAGTTCCCTCATTTAATGAGTATGACATCCCATGTTGTACGATAGTCAAATGATAACGTTTTCACTTTAGGATGAAAAGCCAGCCCAAAACAGATCTACAGCTTTGTATTCAGCCTTAAAAAGATGAATGTGGGGTATGGCAAGGTCTGCTGGGGTAGATGTTAGTAGTGCTTCCTGCTTGGATTGAAGATAATGGGATAAAGACCATCTCACGCTTTCTATGCCTGTTTGATTAATAAATAACAAGCTGTGGTTCAGCATGGGCAGTGACATAAGAAAGCCAAATGTTTAGGTAAAGAGTTCAGAAGGTTTAAAGTAGAAATTAGTTTGTAAAGAATAGTGTCAGGAAGCTCTTTTTGTTTCTGCTAGCTGCTATTATTCAGCCCTTGGGCTGGGCCATGTTCCCTAGGCAGCCAGGCTGTGCCTGTTGCTGACTGTGTGTGCAGTACTGCTCTCCTGGAGGCTGAAGGCAGCAGAGGCTCATCTGTAACCACAGCTCAGTAACAGACACTGAGTCGGTCTTTCCACCTTGGAACTGGAAATTTGAGTATTTCCTTGTGTCACTGTGTTCCTGACCTAGATTTTATAAGGAGGAGTTCTTGAAGTGCCTATGTTACTGGGCTGTTGCTAAATTGGAGCAGGGGATTTTGGAACTTCTGACAGCCTCTTCCCTTTCTAGAATGACTCATTTCCAAGGCAGAGCTCTCAGTGCTTTTGTTACAGAGCTGTCACTGATGGCCTGTTGGAGATTAGTGCTGAACAGAGCAAAGAGAGTGCTGTGAGTTCTTGTGCTAGACCAGGGTGACCTAGTGCATCTTCCCCCTGGGGAAAACCTTTCCTTCAGGACAAAGGGGCCCAGTCTTGTTATTACATGCCACAAACTGAGGAGTTAAAGGTACACAGGAGTCTTGAAAAGAAATGGACCATGGTGCACTCAGATGGTGACGTGACATTTTGTGTGGGTAACCCTTGATGTGCAGTGAAATTAATGGCTGCATGTTTTTTCTTCTTCTCTTCTCTGTACACAAGGCCGTCTGGTACTGTCAGCTGTCCAATCTGCATGGATGTCTACTCAGAGGTAAGGACCCACATGCTGTTATCCTTTATATGCTGTGTGAGGGAGAGAGGGGCAGAGGGGGCTCATTGGGCTGCTGTGGGATGTTACAGAGAGCTGGCTTGAAGCACAGCTTGCCTTGAGGCTCATAATAACTTATCAGTCTAAGTCACTACTTGTTAGTGGGGGTAGAGGGAGGAACCCTTGGCAGGATGGCACTGAAAGATCTTCAAGTTCCTTATTATTCTAAGAATAAAGGAGAATTCCAGATATTCTCAGTCCTGTTTGTGTGATGGCAGTAGACCAGCAAAGTTGAATTCTTTACTTCTAATGCCTATTGTGGTTTCTTTTTTTCCAGATTGTGCAAAGTGGACGACTGATTGTGTCAACAAAATGTGGCCATGTCTTCTGCAGTCAGTGCCTCCGTGATTCCCTTAGGAATGCCAACTCTTGCCCAACTTGCAGGAAGAAACTCACTCACAGACAGTATCATCCCATTTATATATGAGTACTTTTATTTCTCAGGACAGACTCAACTGGATTTTGGGGGAAATGTTATATTTTCAGTGCTCTGAAGATTTAAAGAGCAGCAGGTTGTGCACAAATCCAAATAAAACTGGTTTTTTTGGAGACCAACTTGAACATATCTAGACAGCTTTTTTATGGTCCAAGTTGCTTCTTGTTACGTTCCTGGCTATCATGCTACATCAGTGACTGTCTAAACTAGATCAGCAACCTAGACCAGGAAGGAAGCAGTTAATCATTTCCTTCTACTTTTTTTAATGCTTAAATAAGGGAGTGTGAATATTTTGTTTTTTCTTACTCTATTAATTATTCCTACCTTCACATACAGGTATGGAATAGTTTCCTTTCAGAACACAGATTAGCAATTCACCATTGCATTATACTTTTTTTCATCCTGTAAGAAGCTCATGACTCTTGCTTTCTTGCATATCATCTTTGCCCTAGTAGAGTGAGTACTTTACTGAAGGGTGGTTTTTTCATAAATCAGTCTTAAATTGACAGCAAGGGTTATGCAATAAAGTGACCTGCTGTTAATCAGCAGTCAAGTGTTTTGAGCAGCAGACATGAACATGCAAATGTTTTTATGAACTCCATGAGATCCCAGATACATAGACACATTGCAGCATGTACAATGTGAAAATAATTCTTTGTTTCAGCTGCCAAGAATTCCTGTATTTTAATCCCAACACTGAATTTATTTTCTCACACAATGAGATGGTCTCTTGGGTTTACTTGTGCTGTAATGCTGTCCTAATAATTATCAATAATACAGTCTTCTCTAGGCTTCCTAGTGATGAAAGCAAAGAAGCAAATTCATCTGTATGCTGAATACCAAAATATCTACAGATCTTCTTACTGTATCAGCTGTTCCCAGTGTAACACTTTAAGTTCAGTGTGTTCTCTTTGCTGTTCTCACTGGTTGTTACACTGACACCTGACTGGTTGTAGCCTGGTGAATAGCATTGAAAATTAAATTCCTGTACTGCCATTTTTGAGTGGAGGCTTTAAAAAGTGTTTGGTAACAGTTTTGACAGCCAGTTAGAGAAAAGTTAATTCTCCCTTTGCCCTGAGGGTTGTCCAGTTTTTTTTAAATGCAGTTTTAGAAAAGAAGTCAGATATATCTCCTAGGAAGGACAATTCCTCTAGTTGAGAAGGCAGGAATACACCAGTTTATGCACTCTTATCCAGTCACTTTTTCCCCAGGACTGAGTTCTAAATGTCTGTTTTAAACTTAGAGCTAAAATGTCCGAGCTGATCTGGAGTCCAGGGTGAGCTGATACAAACAGATTGATGTGGACAAGATGATTAAAATCAGGGGTTTATGATCCACAGCTGTGGTAGGTGAACCCATGGGAACCTCCAGAATTAAACCTGGCCACTTCTCTAGAGTTGGTTGCTTATAGAAACCATTCTAAGAACCATTCTGTGCCCTGGTGCAGCACAACTGAAGGGTGTGTTTAGTTAATGTTGGTATCACAGGTGTCATTGCTAACCTGTCCTTATCTGTAGGAAACCTTTAATTAAAGCTGCTCTTCTAAATTAGCTGTCTCAAGCTGCCTTGCAGCTCAAAGTAAAGTTGACTTTTTTTTTTTTTTAATTAGGATGTTTCTGGATATAGAAATAGAGAGTTTTGTTACATAAAGGCTGCCTGAAGAAATGCAGCACCTTCACCCCCTGGTTTGGAGTGGCTTTGGTTCAGTGCTGTTAGCAGGAATGTGCAGTTGCTGTGTTGGCAGTAGGGTGACTCCTACAAAGTTACACACAGGTGGTTGCTGTGTGCTCCCATGGGTAAGATAAACAAGCAAGGACTACAGCTGTCTCAGGATACTGCAGTGACCGTGATGGCTGCAGTTGGGTCCCAAAAAGCAGAGTTGATGCTTTAAGTATTAATTGTGTCAGGAGAAGCAGCCCAACATTAAAACTGTAGAGACCCACAAGGGTCACGGCAGCTACTTTGTCCCAGTAGCTTAACAAAGAAAGAATAAATTATGGCTGGTTTTCCTGGGGTGGCTGCTGTGTGAAAGGAAGGATCAGAAGAGGATTTAAGGGATTACTACTGAGGATGAGGGTGAGTCAAGTCACTTAACCATGCATCTTTCACAGTCTACTAGCCATGGCCTAAATGATTTTGCACTTCCTCCATGTAAATACCACTTTAGAGTTAGTGTTTCAATAAATAGATCTAATCAAAATTTAGATATCATAAACTATAACAAAGAGTTTTTAGCTTTTGTGTACCCTGTGAAGTGCCACAAATTTTGTGCATCTCAAAAAGGATATTATGTCTCAGTACATGGGAAAAAAAATGGAAATTCATTACATGCTTTTTTCTTCAAAGGAAAAAAAGTCTGATATATTTCAGTTCCAGCAATATTTCACATTGGCAAGAACTCATAGAAAATGAAAAAATCTTTATGTTAAGTAGATGTCTGTCTTGTTGTATATAGTTCAATTTTTCCTGTATTTAATTGTATTCAAGTCTGTCTGCCCATCTATGTTGAACTCTGCTGGTAGGCAGAGGGTTCTCTTAACAGGTGAAAATAAAATGTTTGGATTGATAAATCACAAGTGCTTTTTTTCATTGTGCTGGAGTCATTGATTTGGGGGGAAATAATCCTGAACGCCAAAGCCTTTCAGATGCAGGGGCCAGTGTGGGTTGTGCGGGGCAAAGGAGAAAGGCACCATCTGGGGCAGGGGGGATGTGGGGACAGGAGGCTGATGTCCTGCTCAGGATGGGGACAATGGGGCAATGCAGAGGTGGCTTTGTGGGTGGGGGGAGCCTGACAGCCAGGGCCAGAGAGAGCAGTGAGGAGGCTGGGAGGGTGCTGGGCCACCTCCCTGGGGCTCCCACTGCTGCCTGGCTGTGAAGCAGCCACTGGAGAGAATGCTGAGGAGAGAACTGAACTACAGTTCTCTTTGAACTACAGGGTAGTTTCAAAGTCCCAATAAAGCTCACTTGATTTTTTTTTTCTCCAAAGAAACTAGAGATGCTGTTTCCTAAAGGTCTTGGCTTATCCCTCTTAGTTGCTTTTATTGTATTTTGTTCTTTTTTACTATTTATATTGTACACATATGGAGTAGCTGCCTTTCCAAATGCTGATGAGTAATTTGCTATTTCATGACACTTTTGTTTTTATCCTAAAATAAGTTTGTAACTATTTTGCTTTATGCTGTACTATCTTTGCCTTATTACACCACATTCTGTAATAATGGATCTTTTCTTATAAGTCAGGATTAAAGTGGCAACCTGCATCATGCAATATGTCACCTGCTGTTCAGCAGCTGTCAGATGTTTTACACAGAGGGCTGTGTGGACAGGAAGACTGTTTGTTGTTATGGGGAGTCCTTGCTGCTTCAGTTAAGCCCTTGATCTGCTTCTGGTGGAACATTGGATCCATCAGATGTGCTCTCTGATTTGCAGCCAGATTTGGCACTTTGGGTGGATGAAGCATGCAGCAACTGCAGAAAGCTGTTCTCACTTGGGGTTTGATCCTGTATCACAGTTTTGGAAAGCAGAAGGGGTGGATATGAAACAAACCAGAGAGAAAACCAGGTCCAGGGCATACCAGCCCTGGTCTAAGGAGCTGGGTGTAAACCATGGTGCAGTGGCTGGGCTGAACATGGGATCTGAGTAATGTTTGCAGTGCTGCAGTGTCTGAACTGAAGGCTCAGATTGGGTGATGGTCCTGGGGGCTGGAGAGGAGACCATGGCTATGGACTGGGGACCAGGGCAGGAACATCACTCACTGGAAATTGGAACTACAGAGGGAAGTGTACAGATATGTTTGCAGCTTTTTGTGTGTGAGCAGACAGTGGCAAAGGGGAGTTGCCAAGGGTAAGTGTTGGTGTATGGCAGGCGAAACAGATCAGCAGGGCCAGAGCTGTGTTCTGGCTGCAGAGCTCAAACCTCCATTTGCCTGGATTAGGATGGTGACACAGGTCTGGGGCTATGCTGACAGGTGACGTGATGCCATCTATGAAGTTTTGTTAACTGTAGAGATGTGTCCTTGCATTGTGTCTGCTCTACACTTGCTGGCAGTGTGTGGAGGGATGGAATGTTAGAAAATAAAGATAGTGCAGAAGGTAATCTCACACCTGAGGAGCTGCAGCTGTACTCATCACCAAAGATTAGGAACAGGCTGCCCTTAACAGGCCACAGCTGTGTCCAATAAGGAGTGCTACAAAAGGGTGAGTTAGCTGGGTGATGAGAGAGATGCAGTTTGTTGGCTGTATTGTGAAGGAGTCAGTGCTGTGAGGAACTGCACATGAGAAATCACCAAGAAGGTATGGGAGCTTTGCAATAAGGTGATAACAGCAGTGAACGCTAATTTTACGTGTTCTGTAAAAATCTATTCTCTAGGTCAAGAGCATGCAGTTGAGCCCCTGAGCTTCTGAGGATGGTTTTACTTCCAACTACTTTGTCTTTTTTATGTCAGTGTTGCCTGATGATGTAAAATCCAGCTTGGTTGTTTGTGTTTCATCAAAAGACCAAATTCATTGTAGTTTCTAGAGTTGACTTAGGGCCTGTGAACAATAAGATGCTTTAGAGCTGCTTCATATTATTTCTGTAATCCTAAATCCTCCTACAGTTTTTCTTTGAGAGTTCTGGGAAGGTAAAAGGAACAGAAATATCTGGTCTGGGGTTTCTCTCCCACCACTGCCACCACCACCACCCAATGAGGTTTCTATATCCAGCACACAAAAAATTAGGTTGCTCAAGAACTGTTTTATTCCTTTTTCACCCTTTTTCTCTCAATGTCCTTGTGCCTCACGGTGGGCACCAAAATCTGTCTTGGTTTGAAAGACAGGTGTCTGCTAAGGAAGGCAAGAGCCTCCCTTGGAATGGAAAATGTAAACCCCCTCTTTCTGAACTGGCTGCTTTTTGTGTTTTTCTTAAGTACCCAGTTGTTAATGTTTCCTAGGAAGTTATGGGAAAAAATAATTCTATAAGTAAAAAGGAACAAAAGGAAAGAAACCTAATCCCCAGCATCAGAGGAGAGCATTGCCATCTCTGTCAAGGACAGTTGTTGGTGCTGTGTCCAAATGCAGCCCAAGACTCCACGTGTCCCTTCAGAGAGGGGTCCCAGCCATGGCAGTGGTGCA